AAGGTGTTTGTACAGGGGCATCTCCTGACCCTCTTTACATCCTCACAGACTGAACAGTCGAACTCAGTGACGGAGGAGAGTATCTGCTACACCACTCTGTGCATGACATTTCATCCTTGGAGGGGTCAGAGACTCCCATCTCCTATCAGTGATAGAACTGAAAGAGGTGAGGTAGAAGCAGGCTTCGGGATCTGAGCAAATGGCCTTCATGTGCCTGAACATTGATATAGCTATTAAATCGTGGTGTCAAAGTCACACTAGATATCTGCCGTAATAATGAAAATTTAGATCATTGAAGCATCAAATTGTGTGAACAACAATGACAGGAAAATGATAGAGACATAAGGACCTTCAAGATTCAAATTTGTTCTCTCTCTGTAATTCAAAGTTGCCAATTCTCTGTGATGTCATGGGCATGGCAAGTTTTCCTCCCAGATCTGTGGATTTTGAGTAGATGTGGACTCTTCTGGATGTATTCTAACATCTGTCCTGGACAACTTGTAGCATGGGAACACATTTTAAACTCTCAGCTTCATATTTACATGTCTACCCCAAACATCTAAATGGGACAACAAAGAAAGACTGAGACTCAGTCATTTGTGTACAAATCTACTAATATCTTTTCTAATAGTCCACAAATGGAAAAAAAAAAAAAAACACCCTCCACAACATTTTATAATTTAAATCTGCATGTAGATTTGAGACAATTTTCCTGAGTGCACCGAAGTTTTTGGAAAGGTCACAGAGATATTTCATAGCTTGCCACATTTGTCAGCAGCACAGGGTGTTGGCGGAAGGTCTTGTGCCCTGTGTTTTCAGACGCTGATTTCAGGGCCCCGAGATCTGGTTACTGCCCTGCCACGGACATTGTGATGTATGTTAAACCATCTCCTGTATCCATGATGTAAGGATTGCTCCCCAATTTCTCGGATTGTTTAATAAGGATGCTCGATCCTGTGACTGGGCAGAAGAAAGGGAGGTGGAGCTAAGTTTCCTGGGTTTGGGGTGTCAGAAGGACCTTGAAGATGTAGTAGGGGAGAGGACAGAAACAAAGAGAAGACAGGAAGTTGCCATGGGGTAAACAGGAGCATGTGGCCAAGAGCAGGTCGCTCTGAGGATTGGCCTGATGGAGCTGAAGCAGCCCAAACGGCACATGTGCAATATTTGGGATTTGGGACAGGAAGCAGACAAGATAGCTTAGAAGGTACCTGCCCAGCCCAAGTGTTTTAAGCTTATTCTAAATCTAACACGTTTCTGTGCCTTTTATTTGGAAATTAGCTGGTTTAGGAATACCTGCTGCTGTAATAATTTCCTGCATATATTATTATTATTATTATTCATTTTACAAGGTTCTTTATGAAGACCATTATGAACCAGGAAAGACACCCTGTGCAGAGGAAGAGGCAAGCCAAGTCAATACTTCTCTATGTCTTGGAGTCTAGTGTGGTATCCCATCTCTTCCCTTTACATACAACAGACAGAGACGGTTAAAAATACTGTCGAAGAGGGGGAACCCACTATTTCAAGATCTGTCAAACTCAAAGTATGAACAGATTTTCACTAGTAATTTTCACAACCTTTTAATTGGCCTAATTTCACTTCACCAGTAATCTGCTGCCTCAGATCAAAGGGTTGTTTTTTTTTTTTCATAAAGCTAGATATATGGTTTCTGTTAGCTCAGAATACCTTTGAACCTGGAATTCATTTTACTTTTGAAATAAGATTAAAACTTTACTTCCTTATTTATTATAATTATTTCACAGAAGGTTACCATTTAATTAGCCTTCCGGTGTCACAGGGCCAGACATACCTAATTTTTTACTATCATCACTGAAAATTTATAAAAGTTCATGAAAATCTGAAAAAAAAATCTTTTTGCTTCTATATTTTGTGCCATAATAGACATGATTTAAATGAGAAGTATCCAAATAATATTAATAATGCATTTTCTTTTATCCAAAGCAAATGCATTTTGCTCCTAAGAGGCTTTTAATATATTGCCTTCTTTTTTAGAACTGAAAGGAGGGAGATGAAAGGATTTAATGAAAGATACATATTTGACTTGTGATTATAAAGTAATTACTATACTAATTCTGAGTTTACATGGAGTTGCTGGGTTTTGAAGTAAATGAAAGCAAATTATATTTCTGTTAACATTCAAAGTTACCCTTTGGTAAAGAGCGGCTAAAGTGTACTCTCTGCTAGGCCATGAAAACAGTACAGCCTGCATTATGGAATCTTACCTGTTCTAGGTCTGTGTTTGCAGAAAACTTTCAAGAAAAGCTTCAATTGCCATCAAACTTTTACAAACAATTTGAAGCTGCCCTTTCCTACCTCATCCTCTCCTTCCAGCCATCAAACAAAACACTAATAGGAATAGTTAAATTCGGTCATCACTATTAGATCACTGAATGGACAGTTTTGCATGTAGACATGGGATATGCCTGCTCTTTGAATGTCGAAGCCTCCTTATATTGTCATACTCCATAGGAGCTGGCGAAATTAGATGGCCCCAGGACAGTACCTGCCTTGGAAGGCCTCTTTCCACAGAGATCAGAAGGTGGTTGGTGAGTGAACATTGTCTTCTCACGGAGGCGCTGGAGGCTAATTATACCTGCCCTGCACGGAGGGTGGTAATAATACCTTGAGAGAAGTGAGATTGGAAGGTGAGCACAGGAGAGAGAGGGAAAAGCTGCGAAATTGAATCCAGCCTAGTCTACTGACAATTCTAAGGTTTTCAGTGGGAGCCCCAGCAAATAGAGAACACGTGTTTACCAGGCCTCTTCCCCTGTCTATTTTCTATGCAAGAGCAAAGATGGACATGGCAAGAGAACTGTCAACATTCCTTACATTTGGCTTACATTTCTTTGATGTGACTTCTTGTCAGGTTCTGGGGCTATGCCCGTCTTTTTCCCAAACAGGGATTTATAGGTACTAAGTCGAGAGAGCAAAGCATTCTTAGAATTGCGAGAGTGCTTAGTCAGTTGGGGCGAGGCTTGGGAAAGCTTGTTTTCTGTGTAAGCAAGCAGTAAGGAACTACCAGCTATTTAGATTCTCAGCCCTCTGGCTGCTCTATCTTTTTTCTCTTGGGATTGTTTTAAAAACAAAGAGCATTTTGAAGACCTGTTCCCTCTGGCCCTGTTCTATGAGAGATGAGGAAAAGGAAGTTTCTTTGCAGTTAAATTCCATAAAATCAAGCCTACAAAAATTCATAATTCCGGTGACTTTTAAATCACACATACCTGGAAGAACTAAAATTCTATAATGAAGAATCCCTTGTGTGATATAAAATAAGTTATGACTTACCAATCTGCTAACCCAAAGTGTAATGTGAAGATAAGGCTCTGTGACGTTTAGAAAATGACTGTCTCCTCAAGTGAGTTACAAGTTAGTATGCAACATTAGAAAATGCTTTCATGGAAATCATGGACAATAACCTATGGCATTTTACCACTGTGGCTACATACATGCCTGAGAAGAGAACTACATAAGAGAAGAGGATTATATTTTGACTCCTGGCTTCAGGGGTCTCTGTCTGTGGTCAGTTTGGTCCATTGGTTTTAAGCCCCATAGTAAGGAATCCCAGGGTACAGAAAATCAAATGTCTCACATTCTTGTAAAATATGGAGCTACAGTGTCTTTCTCCAGTGAGCAAGGGCAGTAGAAACTTTCTTGTCTTTTTTTCTTTCTTTTTTTTTTTATTAGCAGAGGACTATCAGGTGCCAGCAAATGTATAGAAGTCAAGGAGGGGATGATATAGAGCTGACCTCATTGACCTTCAAACACTGGACACTTCCTATGGCTGAGAACACAGCTTGGAGATAGCTGCAATAGTTCTTCTAAATGTGATCAGCACTAAGAATGATGTTCCATAGAATGGAATAGAAATCTTGGCACTGGATGGCACCAACCAATTGCAGAATCTCAATTACTTCAGAATCTTCTCTGCAGCAAAATAAGGAGATCCAACATATGCACGAATCTCCTGATAAGCTATGAAGTTTCCTAATAGCCCTAAAGGTTCAAAGAAGACTAAACACAATCACAGGAAACTCTTTAAAAAGCAAATAGAAATCATGAGCCAAGTTTCCTTCAAACCAGACTCATCTTGTTCTTATTCAAATGCAACATCCCTCCTTTCACCAACAGATTGGCCAACTTATTCGACTTAATGTAGGAAGCACTGTTGTCACTCCCTAAGTGCCAAAATTACTTCAGTCTAAAGTCCTACAGTTTAGCTTTAGCTGTGCTTAATGAAATATATAAAGATGTTTTAAATGAATCTTTAAAGCTGGGTTAATGCTTTTAACCCAGCTCTTAAGTAGAGGTGTTTTCATATATGGTTTTTAAATTATCAAGATGAGATAGTATTTTGCATTTCCTTCCCTCTTTAATTTGACAGTGCTTTTATGCCATTCTCAAAAATCAAAGCTTCAAAATACTCATTTTGAGGTAGAGACATTTTAATATATCTCTCACAAATGTTTCATGTAGAAAGATGCCATTCATTGTCTCACAAGAACCCAAACCATATCTTCCCAAGGAAACAGAGCCCCAGAGTTTTACAAGAGTCATCCAACAGAAGCAAAACTAGGTTGGAAGAGATGAAAAGAAAGAAATAGTTTTGTTGTTGTTGTTGTTTTTGTCCACAAATACCAGGAGCATACAGCTTTGCTCTGCCAGACACTTCAGCAAAGAAGTGGATGCTGCCCTGAAAGTCATAGTACTGAAACCAGAGATAAGACAAGTAAAAGACAGAGTTGCTATCAATTCAAGGCATTTTACAAAGAGGGTTTTGCTGTGGTAGGTTGCAAGACGAATCCTCACAGGTCAGCAAGGTTTCCTGACCCAGCTTTTGATTATTGTTTGCACAAGTCGTGCAGAACTCAGTTCACGCTCCGTGAATAACACGGGTACCAGGTTGGAATTATTTAGCACCACCAAATAACAGGATTCAAAAAGAAGCAAAACAGCTGAAATACCCAACAGTCTGGTCTAACCTGGGATGCTCTGTCTCCTCACAGCCAATGCTCCATCGGGCGGCTTTGTCTGGCTTGCAGATTTACTGTAGGGACTCTCATCTGCAAAGGCACAATGAAGGGTTTGGTTAATTTCCATCCAGTTTGCGAGCATGGTGAAGATCTGTAATGGACTGCAATCCTTCATCCAGAGAGAGGTAATGAGGGGCAGGAGGAAGAGTTGGGGACTTGAGTCCTACGTTTGGGTGAGCTTTAGGATGAGTCTGGATGTTATGAACATTCGGTTCTTCTTGAGAAAGAGGGACACAATTCTCAGAGTTGTAAGGCTTGAAAGGCTGAAACTCTACATGGAGACATTTTTTTAAATGATAAGGAATGCACTAGTAGGCACATCAGTCCTTTGCCTGTCATCTCCATCCACCAATAAACAGCGAATACGTGTAACAGGAAGATAAAGACTGAACAAAATGGCTCAGTGGATGCTAAGAATAATCAGCAGGAAGAACAAAGGAAAAGAGAGAAAATGCAGTATTTCAGATAAGGGGATTAAAGAGCATTAGTACTGAAGGAGAATGAAGACAAAGGTTAGTAGGATCCTCTTGGGAACACAAACCAGCATCCAGGTTAAAGCAGAGGATGGGGTCATTCCAAAGGGAAGATAGGAGAAGCAGAGACGTGGCAAGGGATGATGGTTAGGCAAAAGAAGGTATGTATTGCAATGAGCTGTTAAGATTTTTTTTTTTTTTTGGAGAGTTAGTTTAAAATAACGAGCAGAGCAATCCAGAGAGCAACTGAGAGGACAGAGGGTTCCAAGCATCATGGATTTCTGAGTATCAGGGAAGAGGCCAAGCTACTGAAACTCTAGGTGTCAAGATCATGGAGGAGATGGTCGAACAAATTACAAATAAAGCAATTTGTTTGGGATTTCTTCTGAGTTGGAAACACGAGCAGTGACATAGAAGGCTCATGCTTGTATTAGAACAGTAAGGAACAACAACACTTCCCAGTTTGGACTGAAGCATCCATGTGACTAGGAGAGGAGATGGCAGGAGTGAAACCTTAGAAGTTCCCAGAACAAGACTGATGTGGCTTGAGGAAAAAAAAAAATTATGTAAAATAATTTACCCAGCACATTCAGTCAAGCTGGACGACACAGTGACACCTCGTCCCACACCAGAACACGTTTGTTACTGCTGTCATCGTTTTAACTGGAAATCATTAAGGGATTAAAAGGAATCATATCGCGCATGGCAAACTATTAAATATAACAAGCATTTAATTCAGCAACAAGGTTTATCATCTGAGGGCGCTGCACATTAATTCTCCCAACTAATTGGCGTGTGTTTCCACAGTGAAGTGCTTATTTCTTCTCCGGGATGTGCTTTTCCTGGAAATGATTCACGGTTTCTTCATGAAATGAGCAATGTCTTTATAAGCAATGACAAAAGGAAAGATTAACGCCGCTGAAACGGCAATTAACTTAAACCGTGGCAAGCATGTCGTCTCATGTCCATATGCCATTTATCACACGATTCTGTTCATTCTTTTCCAACCATAACAAAGCTAGCGGCTCTAGGGTACCAAAACAATCCACGTCACCCACGCCACTCCCAAAGCAGCATCTGAGGTCTTGGACTCTTCTGACTGTAAACAACACGTTGAAGACAATTAAACACCACAAAACAAATCTAAACATTTCATCACCGAAGTGGCGGCCGCTTGTCCCAACACCCATTCCCACCCGAAGAGGCGAGTGAGTTTCCCACATTGGTAGTTTAAGAACTAGACACTGTGTTTCACACAACGGCCATTCAAACAGGCAGCTTCCGTGCAAAAGGTCCGAGAGCCTTCCCAAGATTGTTTCACTGCTGCGTTTCCTTTCCTTAGCCACAACTTGGCAACTGCTCATTTATAAAGACAGGGCACTGAGCCGCTTGATGCCCGCCACACTCCCAGATTCAGGAACTGCAACAAAATTCACCTGGTTTGCACTATAGAAGTAGTCAACTCTGTTAAATTGTTTTCTCATTTATATTTGAAAGCTAGTTCCTCGATTTAGGCCTGTGAATGAACCCTAGACAGCCACCCGGCCAGCATCTGTGTCACCATTTTCTAACCCACACCCTCTCTCCCAGAATCAAGCATGTCCTTCCCAGGTACAAGGGAAAGGAAATGCTTCTCCAGAAGCCAAAAGCTGTACTGGCCAAATAATCTTATGGGAAAAGTTCAATATTAACTAAGAATAGCTTGCCAAAGATGCCAGGGTGACGGCTGCAGTGCCTGATGGGAGTGTCTTGAGCACTATGGAGGGCCGAACAGAGGAGACCCCTGGTACAGCGCTACGGTAGTTACCAGGAAACTTCCGGAGAAGTTACCTCTTCAGTCTAAAAGTACGGAGGCAGCGTGGGCCTCTGCCGCTCTTCAACATAGCTCTCCTGAGGTGAGTTAGTCAAACTCAGCTCCTGACTCAAACTTTGTCTGCAAACAGAAAGTGAGAAAAGACACAGGATGGTCAGTAGTCAACACCCCACCCGAGGACACCGAAGGGCAAAAAAGACAGGGTATGTTTTGTTTGAATCTATTTTCCTTTAAAAAAAAAAATTTAAAAAAATTAAATACTTATTTATTATATATTTTTTATGTATGATTTCTTTGCTTGCATGTATATTTGTGCTTCATGTGTGTGCCTTCCTGGGGCCTGAGGAGGCCTGAAGAGGGCATCAGTTTTCCTGGGACTAAAGATGCAGGCAGTTACAAACTGCCATGTGAGTGCTGGGAATTGAAAGTGTGTTTTCTGTAAGAGTGACACATTTTCTTAACAGCTGACCCAACTCTCCAACTCCTCATTTTGCATTTAATTATGTATGTATGTATGTATGTATGTATGTATGTATGTATGTATGTATGTGTGTGTATGTATGTATGTATGCATGTGTGTATGTGTGTGTTGTATGTGTATGTGCGCTTATGTGTGTGTCTCTGTGTTGTATGTGTATGATGGGTTTGTATGTATGTGTGTGTCTGTGTATGTATGTGTGTGTGTCTGTGTGTGTATATGTGTGTATATGTGTGTGCACTGTGTGTGTCTGGGTGGGTCTGTGCACACGAGCACAGGTTCCCACGGAAGAGGGCTTTGAATCCTGAGCTGGAGATACAAACGGTTGTGAGCCACCTGATGTGGGTGCTGCGAACTGAGCCCCAGGTCCTCTACAAAAGCCGTGTGCTCTAACCACCGAGCCACTTCTCCAGCCTGTGACTTTTCAATCCTTTGTATAAAAGCAGGAGAGGCTATGGAACCTTCCATCATGGCTGCTCCCATGTGTCTTTGAAGCATATTTGTATATTTCTTTCTAGAATTTCATACTTCTAGGATAGTATAAACAGCTTTTAAAATTTTTGTGACTAATACTGAAGCCCAGGGAGGTTTGAAGAAGAAAACACACTTAAAACGAGTCTAGGCGGAATTTCTTACTTTCTTATTCCTACACTTAAAGAAATCTTATTTCCTCATGAATAGACAAAATTTTATAGGCCAACAGTAAGTTGCCATGCTGCTGCATCAGGCCCGGATGTGATGTGTCTTGGCACACAAAGGCAGCAGGCATTTCGTGCTGTGGGTAACCCCCCCGGGAGCGCCTGAGAAGTGCCTCACGCTTTCCTGCTGTGACGTGTGTGCACCTGCTTTTGCCGCCTCCTCATCTGCTTACAAAAGTGAAGAAGAATATTTAAAAATGGCACGACAGAAACATTCATAGGCTCAGCTTTACATTTACAATGTGGAGCGCATGTGTACCCACAGAGGCCGAAGGAGGGCTCTGCCAGAGTCGGAATTGCAGGCTGTGGTGAGCTACCTGACTGAGTGCTGGGACCCGAGCCCAGTTCCCTTGCAAGAGCAGTTTGTGCTTCACACCACTGACACACTTTTCTAGCCCCTCAGATTTACCTGTGAATCACAGAAATCTAAAACAAAAGCCAATACAATTGAGTCCCAGTATGGGCCTAAAAGAGCCTTTGGATATCTTTTAAGATATATATTAATACTTCCCCTTTGTTGGATTGGGGAGGCGACCACTTGTGAATATAGCAATGAATTGAACATAGATCAGATCAAATAATGAAATATACGAGAACACAATAGAGAAAGTCTACACTAGCACAGCGTATACAACAGGTATTCAGCAATGGTTTGTTACTAGTCTATGGCATTATGGACAAGTATGTAAGTATACTCCCAACCACCTCTGTTTTTCTTTCTCTAATTTTTGGGGGCAGATCTAGATTTATAGACTATCCCTGTTAAAGTCACATCATTATCCAACAGCTGTTCAGAGCTGACATCCTAATGTGACAGTCCAAACTATTTTTTTCACTTTCTGGTTAGTACCATGGCATGTTAGGGAGATGTGACTATTTATAAAACTGATATTAATTATATATTTTTCTGCATTTATTCAGACTTTTTGAATGATTTGTCAAATGATATTTTTTGTTACTTTATTTACATATTGAAATAAGGTCTTCTGTAGCCCAAATTGCTTTTCAGTTTGCTAGGTAATTAAGATAGGTTTGAACTCTCCATCTTCCTGCTTCACCAGGTGAGTTCTGGAATTACGGATGTGCAACACCACACCCATAAAACCATCTTTAAAATCATTCCTTTGAACAAAAGAGTCCTGACTTTGGGGCCACACTCAACTTTGTCATTGATAGTAGATCCTATTAACAAGAGATCCTCTTAAAAGTCACCTTGGGGACTAGACAGACATTTAACAGGTGACAGACATTTAACATTTAACACTGCAGCAAATGCTGAAAGTGGAAATATTATCTAGGGTGTCAGAAGAGCTAGCCTTCTCTGATGACACCTCTGTAGCTAGAGAGTCACTGTCACACATGATGGCCTCCCACTGTCATAGGGGTTTGGCAATAATGAAGAGCAACAAGGATCTATGAGAGTCATTCTGAGGCTTATTCTGTTGACACAGAATAAGCATGGTGACAGACGTTCAGAGGAGCTTAGTCAAGTATACACACAAAACAACAATTAAGCAGGGTCAGGAAGCCACCTGCCCCTCATGTCTTAGTCAGGGTTACTATTGCTT